CCCCAGCGCGCCCCAGATCACCGGGCCTGCAGGCAGCCAGACATCTCAGATGCCCCCTCCCAGGCACCCGCAGAGAGCCCCGGGCAGGGTGCCAAGCCTGCGCAGCCTCCGGTGCTGCCAGGCTGCAGGTGCCTGCAGAGGGAGCCCGTACCAGCCTCGTGGTCTCAATTTCATTAGCTTAATTTAGCTCAATGACTTTTCCGAGAGCTGCTCCTCTGGGGACTGGGGGCAGGACCCTGCTGGCTGCAGCATTTGGTGGGGATCCCACCACCGGCGAGGCGCTGGCTGGGGATGCCGGGAGCCCCGGGAGGGCGAGCGGAGCAGACTGTGCATCCTGTCCTGTGCCTCAGCACCTCTGCCCCTCTCCCAGCTTTGCTCCAGCGTCGGGACAGTGTGGGGAGCCCCATGCCCACAGCAGAAGCTACCTGCAGCTTCTCAGGGTCACACAGCCAGGCTCAACAGCTCCTGCTATCGGGGCTCTACAGCTTCCCCTGCACAGGGGTGAAGATGTTTGGATTGCCCTGGCACCCAGCATCATGCTCCCAGCCTCCTTATTACTCATTTTCCAGCCCAGGTGCCATATCCCAGGGGTGTCTCCATCTCCCCAGGGCTCTGCCCCTCTCTGGGGACAAGCAGGGCCTTGTCCATGGTGACAACATGACTGCAGAGAGGACCCATCCAAGCACCCATGTCCACCTGCTGCCTCCCCACCGGAGAGAGCACCCCAGTCCCAGGAATGGGGATGCCATGGGGCACTCCAGCACAGCCTCCTGTGGTGCATTCCAGACCCCAGGAGCCCCAGGAGCTGTGGGTCCCAGTACTGCAGGAGCACCCAGCAGGACACGGCCCTGGGAGAGGCCAGCGGAGGCTGCGTCCCCCCAGCCACCATCCCATGGTGACCTTCTGCACCAGGATGCAGCGAGATGGGGGCATGAGTATGCGCCTGCACGCAGGAGACAGCTAAGAAGCTGATCAGGGCCCTTTTCCTTAATAAATCATTCGTCTTAATCCAACGCCCTCCCTCCTGCTCTAATAGCTCGAGGCGGTGGGGCCCCAAGGCCACAACAATGCGCTTAATGCAACGATTTATTTTCATAATGGTGCTGGGGGGAGAGGGGGTGGCCAGGGCGGGGGCAGCACGCACCGGGGCAGGAGTTTCTAATTAGTGAATGAAATTTGATGTAAGGCTGGAGGAAGATGGATTCACCGCCTGACAAGGGGCTTTTCAGCTCATCAAAGTGCCCGAACAGGGAGGTAAATTAAATTATTTCTAATTCTTTGCTAACCTCTAGGGAGTCACCCTTCCACTAGCAGAAAGGTGGGTCAAATCCTGAAATGAAGAGGCACTGGAAGGACTGTGGCTAAGTGGGACTGGACTCTTGTGAAGGAATGAGGATGACAACATGTGATAAGATGGGAAAACAGAGTAGGAAAGCTGCGCTAGAGGGATGGAGAGGGGAAAGGTGGTGGTGGCAGGGAGAGTTGCAAATGGCCAATAAACAGACTGATATGGGGATTAATGGCTAATTTTGTGCCAAGTCTGCAATCCATACTTGTCATCCTAATCAGACCTGAAACGCAGCCAGCTCCAGGATGGAGCAAAGTGTCCTGGCAGCAGGGAAAAGGCTTTGAGTCCTGCAGAGGATTTGAGCAGGGGCAGCGTTTGCCTTTTGAAGGGGCGACTGACCCTGAAGCAGGAAAAGACCCAATGCAGGGAGGTGTTTCAACAGAGACCTTGTCCTTGCAGCCCTGCTGAAGTTGGGGTTAAAGCTTCCAGTATAGGAGCAGTTTTGGACCGAGTGGTGTTTTTCTGAAAACCCAGCTCCTGGAGTCCGGCTCCAGTCTGCCGGACACTACTACAGCCTCTGAGTTCCTCTGTTCCTACAGTTCCCACAGTTCTTCTGAGGGAATCAGCTGCAAAGGGCCTTCTCCTGCCCCCAATACACACTTTGGGCACTCTTCCCCCATCAGCACTCCCTTGTCCCATGCCCTTATGGGACACTGCCCTGTAGCCCCTGTTTCCCACACCTTAACCACACTCAGCACTGTCAAGCGGGCTCCAAGCAGTGCCCTGGGAGGGAGATGTGGAGGGAAATAGGGGGAAAAGGGAGGGCTGCATCTTATCACAAGGGGCTGGGGATGTGCAGTGGTGCGGGGGGTTGCAGCAGGCCGGGAAGGCAGCTCCATCCCCAGGGCTGAGCTAGGTAGAGCTGGGACAGGCGCAGAGCAGGCTGTGCTGACCCAACACTCCAGGAATTTAATTTGTTTAATATATTCCCTGGGAAAGAAGAAAATAAATAAGTGGCACCTTGCGTGCCCCCATGTCTCACTCTCCCAACGAAGGTGTCAGCTTAACGAGCCGAAGCCCTCAGCCTGATTAACCAGCCGCTGCTCCCCCTAATAGGGAGCCGCTGAGCAGCATGATTGATGTAGCAGGAGTGCTAGCCGGAGCGGCCTGGGGCTGGCCGGCTGCTGTGGGTGCTGTGCCCGCCTCAGCCCCTGCTCCTGCCTTCCATGCCCAGGCATGGGCCAAGGGCAAGCCAAGGGCTCCCTCCTTCCATGGGAATGGGACCAT